TCCCAAGTGTCCTGATGGATTCCTTCCTTATGGCAAGACTTTTCCCCACAGCTCTCTGCCTGGAGCTGGGGTTATGGTTCAAGTAGAAATTAAGTCCCTCTATCAGATGGGAGTGGCTCTGGCTATTCTAATGTGGCAAAGACACAGCGAGCATCGCTAAAACACAGGTACTCCTGTCCTGGGTATTCCGGTGAACACCTTCCAGAAGGCTCGGTACAGCCCAACACAGAGTTACGGCATCAACCGCAGGGAGAGGGTACAGAACATACCAATGCTGGGTAATGACCAAGGTGGGGGCACAGAATGATGGATCATGGAGATAGAATCACAGAATCCGAGGGCTGGAAGAGACCTCAGGAGTCACTGAGTCCAACCCCCTGCCCAAAGCAGGACCAACCCCAACTCAATCAACCCAGCCAGGGCTTTGTCAAGCCAAGACTTAAAAACCTCTAGGGATGGAGACTCCACCCCCTCCCTAGAGAACCCATCCCAGTGCTTCCCCACCCTCCTAGGGAAATAGTTTTTTCTAATATCCAACCTAGACTTCTCCCACTGCAACTTGAGCCCATTGCTCCTCGTTCCATCATCTGTCACCACTGAGAACAGCCTCTCTCCATCCTCTTTGGAACCCCCCTTCAGGAAGTTGAGGGCTGCTCTCAAATCCCCCCTCACTCTTCTCTTCTGTAAACTAAATAAGCCCAAATCCCTCAGCCTCTCCTCGTAAGTCATGAGAGATGTTTGGTTGGATCCAGCCATAGGGTTGGTAATATGCCAATACAGAACTTGTCTCCACGTATAAAAGAGACATTGGGGGGGTGGACCTTGGCTGGATCTAGGGAGCAGCAGAGAGTCCCATTTCTGACAGCTGAGTCCAGCGTCCTGAGCCTACATGGAGAGCTGTGGTCACCACCCAGTAGATCCTGGAGCCTCTGACAGGTGAGCCTGATTGCACTGACCACAAGGCCATCAAAGGCTGGTGCTTCAGCTGCCCCCACTGCCGGGCTGCCCCCGGGAGCCTCCTGCCTGCTGTGCAAGGTGCGGGGGCATAAAAAGGGGGTGCTGATGTTAAGGTGTCCCTCTCCCCGTGCCCCATCCCCATAGAGTGAGCAGGGGCCTGGGGGAAAGGGTGGGGCAGGAGGCGGGGCCAGGGTATTGGGGTGTGAGGTAGTAGCTAGAGTGACAAATTCTAAACAATGGATCTTGTGCTTAAAAAGGCTGGAGGCCACGGATGCAGAGTCTGTGGGGCACTAACACCGTGCTCCATCGGCCATGAACGTGGGCGAGGGCCGTTGCCGGCGAAGCGACGCTGTGGTCTTGCCGGGTAGTGCTGCCAAGGGCTGCCACGCCAGCTCCCTGCGGGTCGGTACAGCACCCCTCTGGAAACCCCTTTCCAGGGCTGCATAACGGGCTGTGCCTGGAGCTCGCCCCGCTCCATCCAACCCCACCGAAGGAGGGGGATCTATGATCTGACCATGCAGGAAAGCCCCAGTGGCGGTGGCTGATCAGGCTGCTGTGCTCTTTGCACTGGGGGATGGCTCCCTCTGTGCAGAGCAGCGATTCCCAGCTGCACACATACACACACGGCTCTGAATCAAAGTGTGTGTGTGTGTGTATGGGGGGGGGATTGTTTTCTTCCAGCTGCATCACGGACAGTAGCTTGATTGTTCTGCAGGCTCGTGGGAAGCCCTTGAAATGTAGCGAGGTCAGGGAGGCCTTGAAGAGAAGGAACACGGGCAGGAAGGAGGGAGGGTGGGCAAGTCCCCACGGTGTGTGTGTGTGTGGGGGGGCTCTGAGCAGATCTGAGTTAGCCATGCCACAATGATCAACCCCCAGCCACCTTCAGGCTCCGGCTGGGCTGGGACACTGAAAAAAATTTCACCCCCCCCCCCCC